GCACCTCCCACTATCAGCTATTCTTCAGAAGTCTTCCATTACCCTCTCGATTACTGTAGCTTCTTTTTAGACTGAAGTTACCTGTGGCTCCAGATAAAAAGAGGTCACGATTTTGTGCTTAATATTTTGCCAAGTCCTTACTGAAGTTTCACTGAAGCCAAGGGAGGCTGTTACTAAAATTCGAGGTATTTCCAAACCATTTGCATTTGTAAACTCATCTCTTAGAGGGCAGTACGCACACAAAAAAGTCTCCTAAATGATAAATTCTCCATTTCTACATGAAAGCTTCCTGTCCCCTCAACTACACTCTGGCCTGGAACCTTCAGCAAAGTCCTTTGCATGTTATTGCTAATGCCGTGCCTGATTCTGCAGCAGCTGTTGGTTTTGAACAATATGATGCTTCTTTTCCCCAAAGAGAAGTTGAAAATGCCTCTTTTGCAACACTTTCCACCTTTGCAGACTTGGGAGCATAAAAACAGACTCGGAGATACAGTTAGGATTCTGTTTGGGAATTCAGGGCGCATCTTAGAGGCTATTGAGTTTAGCCACTTTCTGACATTGACTTTCATAGCAACAGTTTAATTTAGGGAAAATCTGCTACCCCAAATGGCTAAAGGTATTTACATGGAAAATATTCCCAATGATTGACTTCACTGTGTTGCTTGTTTCTTTCTCCACAAATATGTAAGTGTCTGGCTTTCTTACAGAAGTTTTTCTACATCACTTCTTTTCAGGCAAAGAAATCTTTCTATACAGAGAGGGAGAAGAAAGAGGCACCAAGAGTTCCCCCGCTTTAAAGTGAATAACAATATGAGTTTACACCACAGCATCTGTTAAAATGAAAAATTTGAATGTGTCTCCTGTTTCTTTAAATTTTCCTCTGGTAAGTCTTTAAGGTGGTCAGAGTAACCTTGATCACTTTGGAGCCAACGTCACCTTTGAGCTTCCTTCAGCACCACCTTGTCCCCTCCCCCCTCCACCCCTTTACATCATCAGTCTCACTGAAGGAGTTGTCTCCACTCCTCTCTTCCTTCCTTACCTCCCACTAATTCTTCAGCCTTCTTTCTACTGACTGCTCTTGTCAAGATCATCAATGGCTCCCTGTTATTTAATGTAACGACTACCTTGGATTATAATCCATCTTTTCATAGCATTTGACATCACTGGTCCAATTTTCCTTAGCTTCTTTGCCAGCATTTCTCCTCATTCTCCTAGAGGGTTTCCTCTTTTTCAGTCCCTTTCTTTATTTTTTTCCTTTTCTATTTTTAGTGTTCAAATACATTTGTCTCCATTTTCCCTCCACCACTTTCCCCTGCCCCCCCTCCCTCAATCCTTCCCCACTTTGGCTTTGTCCATGGGTCCTTTATACATGTTCCTTGACTTGACCCTTTCTTAAATGTTGTTTCCTTGGGAATCAACCCTAGGCTAGCTTTTCTTCCTACTCAACACAGGCGTGCCAAGGTGTGCCTTGGGATGTTGCTGGTTCAGTTCCAGACCACTGCAACAATAAAGTGAGTTTTTCAGTAAAGTGAGTTGTAATCTTTTTGTCAGTGGGGCTCTTGGCTTTAGTTTGTAAGTGTGTAACATCCGTGAAGCGCACTACAACCAGGTGTGCCCATACTCTCTTCCTGATCAGTATCATCTGCCCATGACCTCAATTCCACGCTTGGATAAGATTCCCCATCTATTTCTCTAGCTCAGATCCTGGGAAGGCAGGCCTGTGTCCAAACTGAAACTCATCCTTTCTCTGTTTCTCTTTCTAAGTTCCCATTTTTAGTGAGGGACTCCATTGTTCACTGTGCAAGACAAAAACCTTAACTTCTCTCTTTTCCTCTCTCCCATAAAATAAACTAACAATTCCTATTTATTCTATTTTCTACATAAATTTTAAGTTCATATCTTCCCTCTACCTCCTACCAGTACCTCTCTCCCTGCCCTCATTCAGGAAACCATCAACTTGCACCTGGTTAACCCTCTCTGGTCTTGCCTCCTTATTAATCCATCCTCCGTGTCGCTGGAGAGATGTTTCTGGTCACTGCATTTCCCTGATCAAAACCCTCATGCTTGCAAAGCCCCCACAGCCTGGCCACTCTTGCTTCTCCAGCCCCAGTTCTTTGGACTCCCCACCTTGCATTGTTCATTTTGGGTCATACTGAGTTCCTTTCAATTTTTCACGCATACCATGCTTTCTCATCTCTGGGCCCTCTTTTTTATTTCTGTCTGGAGCATTCTTCCTATTATCTCGCCCACTGGTGAATTTTTGCTTCATTTGGGGGCCTAAAATGGAGAACACTTCCTTTTGGATATTGCCCCGAGTGTTCTAAGCCTGGCAAAGGTGCCTTTGTCATGGCCCCTGCCCCACTGCCCCATCACGGCCCGAACCGTCCTGTATCGGCGTTATCACCTGCGTCTTTGTGTTCCCGTTAGATTGTCACCTCTGCGAGGGCAGGAGCATGTCTGTCGTGTTGAAATTGTTTCTTCAGTGCCTCACAAGGTGATTGAGGCAGAGCAGGTGCGCAATAAATATTTGTCGAATGAATGAATGAGCTTCACAGTAAATCATGAACCAGCCTTTTTTTTACAACACAGGTTCAAAATGCTTCACTCTCATTTGCAATTTCTTCCCCACTAGTCCAGTTCCCTTGACGGGAACAACCATCGCTTTTCCAAGAAGCAAACAGAACTTTGTTGCTGAGAAAGCAACATATATCTCAAAGGAAGAGAAACTTTCCAAAGGTCCTGAGAATTAGCATATGGTAATTGTCAAATTCCCAGGGTATCTTTTAATCGAACCTTCACTGTGGTTCACTTGGCTTGTACTCAGCACTTAAATTGAGTGGAACCTCATTAGGGAGGCTGTGTCATGCCTTAGTGAAAATGGAGAGGATGAGATATATACTTCCCATGACATGGAGCATAGGAGAAAGGGAGCAAACTGGTCTGTGGCTTCTTGAATCGGTGCCTCTGCCTGTACCAACTCCTGCTCCGCGAGACGGCGGGAAGGACTGCCGCCGCCAGTTGCTGAGGGTTTTCCCTTTAATCCCGTTCTGGGTTTTGTATTCTCCAAGGATTTATGACCTGCTCCCCACCTTTCTTCTCTCTGTGCTTCTTCTTCAGTGCCATCCTCAGGAGCAACCTGGTTTTTATGAGTTTTCCTCCCCCGAAGCCACTCTTCCTGAGGGAAGGAACTCACTCAGCCTTGCTTAGTACTTCCTGGGCTTCTCATTACCTGTCGCTAGTCATTTGCCAACTCTGTTCTAGCCGCACTGAATTCTCCCCTTCTCAGGGCTGGGACTAGGTGAAGCAAGCCAGGTTCCCAGGGACAGAATTTAAGAAGTCACCGACTCTCAGACGTCAGCCCTGCACTTGCTGAAGCCTGAGAGTTTCCCTTGACCCACCCTTGGCCTCTGTCCCGCAGCTGTCGCGCTTCCTTGCTTCCCCAGATCCCAGTCCCCAAGCCCTTGCTCAAATGCTGCCTCCTCAAGAAAGCTCTTGCTAAATCCAGCAGTCTTTTCTACAGCCCAGCAAGCAGTCATCTCGCCTTCCTCCACATTCTCAGTGGACCTTATTTATACCTGTCTGGAGGCACTGTATACCTTGTTCAGTTCTTAGGCTTGCCTTCTTATCTCTATGTTAAACTACCGATTTCTTAAGGGCAGTCTTTTTCTCAGTGTGTTCACGTTATCTAGCACCGAGCTTGATATGGCGTAAGTGTTTATAAGTCAGTGAGGTGAGTGGAGCCATCAAGGGGGGAAGAGAGAAGAGCATATAGTTGTTAACGGCACAGGGGAGGCAGGGATAGACATGGGCACTGGGGCCAGTCTGCCCGGCTTTGATCTCTGGCTCTGCCACTGCTGGGTGCGACAACTTGGACAGGCTACATCACCTGCCTATGTTTCCATTTCTTTATCTTGAAAATGGGATCAATAATGGTACCCCAGCATAGGGCTGTTGTGAAGTCTAAAGGAGAGGACTCATGTAAAGGGCTTAGCACAGGCCTCATTGCGCAGTGAACACCTTGCTAAATATCAGAATTCAGAATAGAAAGGGTCTAGTAAGGGTACATCCATGGAAAATGCAGGTGTACACATAAGTCTAAAGTCTAAATCATCAATGATGGGACACAGAAGCAATAACCTCATACTCCCTGGATAACCCAAGTGAATGCTGTTTATGAAAAGACAAACCTCATCTCTATAATTCAGTAGAAGAGTAGCTTGGGCAAGAAGATGGTAACAGAGGCTGCCCAAAACCACAAACAGAGGAGGGCCGGATGAGCTTGGGGGTACTGAAACAGGTGTTTAAATGTGCCATGTTATAATATCTGCTGATTTCAAGGAGGATGGAAGCATAATGCTAAGGCAAAGTCATGTTTTTGCTGCCATCTACAGTCAAAGTGCAATTTTTAAAGTTGCTTCACACACACACACACACACACACACGCACGCACGCACGCACACACGCACGCATCCACCCAGAAAGAACATTCTTGACAAAATGAGTGACGATATAGATGGTTTGGTTTACATTCTACTAATTGAGATAATTTGGGCATGTTATTATAGTATTTTATTTACTATTCTTCCTAACTGTGTGTGTGTGTGTGTGTGTGTGTGTCTTTAACAAGTAATATAGCCTTTTAAAATCTCAAGTTGTGTTCAAACTCATCAGAAGACACGGATTAGCTGCAGGTGTGCAGCCAACAGATAGTTTGAGAGGTAATACAATGATTTCAATGAATAAAGAGATGGATTGGATTTTACCTCATGTTTTCCTGACCTATGACCTGCAGTTACTCCAGTTGTTATTAGCATTATTGTAAATTGCATTTTATACAAATGTCTTTTATTGTTTGGTTATGAGAAGTCAACCAAAAGCCAGTGAAAAGCAAAGCAAGTAAAAACAGAATCTGAGGTGGCTTTTGCCACTATGCTTTTATCCATATAATCTCCAAGGTTATGGTGATATTTTCCCAACTTCCCTGTGCATTGTTTTAAAAGGGTTAACTATAGGCAACAACTATTGGAAAAACATTTGATGGAGAAAAAAGAAGCGGCTCTTCAAGAAGCACATGAAGAAGGAGAGCGGGAGAGGCGGCTAGAAGCCCTTAGGAAACAGGTGTTTTTAATTTGAAATTTTCATGGGTGGTTTAAAAAAATGTTTCTAAGTGCTCTTAATAACATTATTACCAGGGCTTAGTTTAGGAGTTTTGCTGTAAAAAAAAAGTAACTTTTCCAAATTGAGACACTGATCTTCATTCCTGGGAGCAATTAGATTTATGTTGAAACATTTCCAGTTTCTTAGTATATTAAAAGAACTTTATCTGCACCTTTTAAAAAGCTCTCCCAAGATTTAAATGCATCCACATTACCCCTAGTTTAATAGCTGAATAATATCCATTTATGGCCATGAAATGCTACATCTAGCCGAAAGATTTTACTCTCCTCAGAAAACCTGGCAGAGCTTGAGCAAGATAATTCTCTTTGGGGTAGGAACCTCTGTTTGGAAATATCCCATAATAAACAAACATGTTTTAAAAAATCACTTTTAAAAAGGACTATTTTGTGGAGAAATAAAAGCCTCCCATTTCTTTACCCAGTAAAAGTAGGCAAAAGTTTTCAAAGTAGGCAGTAGATGGCACGATCAGAAACCTAAGAACTTGGGAAATGTGATAAAATAGTTTTATTTGGTAATTTTTCAGGGTTTTTAACCTGGAAGTGATTAGCTCAACTCCTAAACTCTGAAGTTTTCACTGACCCCAATTCCCAGCCAATAGGAAATGACTGTCTGGTTTCCCTTCAGTGCCAGTGGAGGCTGCATGGAATCTTGGATAAGAACTTGGCCCCTGGTATCTTTCAAACCTGGTACCACCTGGACTGCTACTCACTGGCAGAAGAAACTTAGGTCTTTTACTTAACCTTCCTAGGCTTTATTTCTCCCTCTGAAAAATGGGAATAATAATATTAGTACCTGCCTGATAGGTTCGTAGTAATGTCCATTCACATATTTTGAATTTAGCAAGTATAAAGTTCTCTTCTAAACACTGAGATTTTACCTCATTTAAACTCTACAAAATCCTATGCTGTAGGTGTTATTAATATTCCTGTTTTATAGAAAAGAAAACTGAGGAGACACACAGGTTCCCAGGAGTCACACAGCGAAGGTCAGACTGAATATAAACCAGGTAGATGAGGTAGTATAGAGGAAGTGTAAACGCATAGCATCTTCTTTGATAAAATAGCTTAGAGAAATTCAAAGCATAGGGATGTAAGTCCTGGTCATGCTAGATTCAACAAAATTTAAACCATTCAGAAATTAGCAAATAACTATACGCATATACCGTGGCTTTCAGGGGATAAAACTTAATGTCACTAATACTAAACACATTCTTGTTCAAAATACAACTTTGATAACTTCAGAGTGCATCTATTAGAATTCTTTCCATCTATGAACCCTTGGAAGGAGGAAATATCTGCGACCATTATCTGTAATCAGTGTTTAGAACAATGATAATATAAGATTTTGACTAGGAAACCTCTAACAATTAAAGTATGTACAACCCCAGTTATGCCATTACAGTTCCTAAATGCATTAAAAATGCCATTTTCTTCCTGTTAATTCTTGATTTTAGAGTTAACAGACAGGTGTCATCAATGGTGCATATAATTTACAAAATTTGTGGCTTTATGTCATGAGGACTCAGGCTTAAATGATTCAGTTATCACAAAGAACAAGGGCATTTGTGTTAAAGTGATGCTGCAGTTTTCCAGCAGAAGTAGGAACACTGGCTTATAACAGTGTCTGGAAATCTGGGGGCCTGGTTCAAGGGAAATCCGCCCCTTGTGCCCTGTTGTACCACAACACTCTACTCTGCCCAGGAAGAGTATGCCCTAGATTCAGTTTAATCAGATCAAACTTTCTAGAAAATGTCATGAGGTTGTCACCATGGCCATAGATCGCTAGTAGTTAAAAATTAATGTTTTTTTTTTTAATTTTAGTTTTTCTTACTTTCATGGTGTTTGAATATGTAGGTTTTCTCAATTTAATCGTAACAGTTATTTCAGTCATTAGTAGACAATTACATTCCAAAGCCTTTTAGTATTATATTTTATTTTTAAATTGCTAATTCCTTTGTGGAGCTCTGGGAGTGGCCTGGTTTAATATTTTTTCCTACCCTTCCCTCTTAGGTTTTCTCTTTAATAAAATTTCTTCATTTTAATGCACATGAAACATCAATAGTATTGCTCAGAACTATTGCTATGCCTTCTCTTCTTTTAGGTTGCTATTGTTGCTCAATTTGATCCTGTTAGAATGATGTCAGATACAATAGCATCGAAAGCGAGGATGGGTATTGGAATTGAGGAAGAATTTATTCTTCAAAAGCCACTCTTCACATTGAATACATACAATGAACAGCAGGTAATTATGGGAATTAGCATGATTAATGTAAAAGCCATGATGATGTTAAGAACTGTAGAACTATGTGTTTTGGTTATAAACCATTTTCAGTATTTACATTTGATCACATATCAGCATAATTTTTACTTCCAAATGATAGCACTTAATTACTGCACAACTCTTAATGTTATAAAATAGTTGATAGGTGAGCTTAGCAAAAGCTCACATATCAGCATAATTTTTACTTCCAAATGATAGCACTTAATTACCGCACAACTCTTAATGTTATAAAATAGTTGATAGGTGAGCTTAGCAAAAGCAGTTTATCTGGAAATGTTATGAATCTGTCATTGAAAATTATTTTTCTAATTTAAAAATAATTTTACAAAATTTTACTTTAAACTTGTATTAATATTGTATTTTGTTGGTGAATATTGCTCTATCATATTCAGAATTTGTTTAAATTTATAACAAATCCTTTGAAGAAAAAAAACTGATGATGCTGATTAAACAACGCAGAGGAAGCTTTCAGAAATTAAAATGAACAGAAGATAATACATCAGAGCTAATGATAAAACATTTTCTGTGGAAAAAGTATTAAGGGGTTACTTAACCATGTCTGGGAAGGGAGAGAGGGAGAACAGATGAATGAATGTGTATCCCTGAAATTGAGGGAGAAAGTGGTTAATTTTGCAAATCTAAGCAGAGCTGCTAAGTGCTTATTTAATTATTTAAACAGGAGGAAACTTCATCCATTCACCCATTGACAAATAAATCAAGTGTGCCTCTAGTATGTGCTGCATACTTTGGTAGGGATTAAAAAGATGAACAACTCATGTATTGAACAAATATTGATGGAACATGTACTCTATCTGGCACACAGGATCGACTTGTGCTGTGTGGAAGAAGGAGCAGGAGCGCTGGGTTGGGAGGGGGAGTAACATGTATGGGAATAATGCCACTAGGGCGAGGTGACCTCCGTGGTGGAGGGGTAAGGGCCATGGCAGATGGGGAGGGAATCAAAAGCTAACCCTGACTGGGTCAACCAGAGAAAAGTGTCAAAGGGGAAAGTTAAGCTTTATCCTAGTTGAAGATTTTTGGCAGCAGAAGCAAAATTCATCCCAGATGATTTAAGCTAAAAACAAAGAAGAAAAACAGGTAAGGGGGAGGGAGTGGGTGTAGGATAAGGGATAGATTATGAAGATGCAAGAGTGTCTCCAGGAGCCAAAGTGGGGAGGGCAGCTGGGCTCGCAAGGAATTAAAGTCAGAGGCTGGAAAGCTCTCCAGTACCTGGGCTGGAGAAATAAGGTTTTCACCAATAGAAGAGGGTGGAAAGAGGACCTTAGGGGTTGCATCTTCAATGTAAGATACTTGTCAAGGGTGGGTGCTCTAAGGCAAGACTAGAAAGGTAGGTTAGGGTCAGATTGTGGAAAATGTATTGTAGTAGGTCTTGCTTGCTGAGACAGTTTACCTTTATCCTGTGAGCAGAGGTGAGACTTTGAAGCAAGTGAATTATATAACCAAATTTATGTTTCAGCAAGGTGTCCTGAATGGAAAACTGATGAGGCTGGGGGCTGGGGGCTGGAAGTGGGAGTGGGATCAGATCCTTTCAAGAGGGTGGGGCCCTTACGGAAGTGGGGAGAGGGGCAAGAATGGCTCTGGCTGGGAGGAAGAAAAAGGATAATGAAAGCGAGTGTAATTCTCATACTAGACAGTTTGTTCCACCATTTACTGGCTGTGTGAAGTTGTATAAGCTATTTAACATCTTTCTGTCTTGTTTTCTTCGTCTTTAAAACAATGATTTGCAAGGTTCTTGTGAGGATTAAGATAGTAAATGTCAATTACCTAGCATATTGCCTGGCACCTAGTAGTAATTCAGTAAATTATAATCGTTAGGTGTTGCTGCCGTAAACCATATAAGCATATAGAAGGAAAAACAGACTTAGGGAGAGAGAATTTTTGTTCATGTCATGTTTAGGGTGAAAATGGCTCCTACACATTTACAAGAAACTGGTCGGCTGCCCCGGGGGAGGGGAACTGGGAAGATGGAGATCAGCATGCAAAGTTCCCCATTTCCCTATGTTAATTCAAAAAAAAAAAAAAAAAAAATAGAATAATGAAACAGTTTAATAAACCTCAAAACCCCGGAGCTGAGGAGAGAGGTGAATGCTGGCGACAATTAGGGAGTGAACAGCACACGGGTGGAGCAGGGGTCACCGGAAGTTGATGGGAGTGTTGATGGGCGTGACCAGAGAGGCAGTATGGGCAGAAGAGGAGAAAGCCGGGTCTAAGGATTGCATATGTTGGTTGTCAGACATAAACCTCTGCATTATTCTTGCCTTATATGCATCATTTCCTCTAGTCCCTGTGTCCGGTGAGTTGCCAAGTCCTATTACTTCTTCCCTTCATAGTGTTTCTGACAGTTATCTCTTCCTTGCTACCAGCCAAGTTGAGGAATGTTTATTACTTCTTGTCTAGACCATTATAGTAGACCCCTAATCACTCTCCCTGCCTCCATCTCTCTTTTTTTAAAGATTTTATTTATTTATATTTAGAGAGGGGAAGAGAGGGAGAAAGAGAGGGGGAGGAACATCAATGTGTGGTTGCATTTCATGCGCCCCATGCGTCCCCTGCTGTGGACCTGGCCTGCAACCCAGGCATGTGCCCTCCACTGGGAATCAAACCAGCAACCCTTTGGTTCATAGGCCAGCGCTCAACCCCCTGACCCACACCAGCTAGAGCCCTGCCTCCATCTCTTTTCTCCCTGCCACCTTAATTTATCCTGAACTTAGAATCAGATCCATTTTTCTATGCAATGACAGCGATTACTTGCACTCTAGAAACAGAGACAAATACAGCTTTGGAAGCTCCCCACACTCCTTGGCATAGCCTTTAAGCCTTTCAATTTCAAGTCCTAGTCTTAGAAGTGTCCTTTTCCGGTGTTCCCCAGTGGTGCTTTACCCAACGACCCTGATTCCAAATTGACCTATTTTACCTCTGAGGTTGCATGTGCCTTCCCTTTTTGTTCAATCTCTCTTCCTCATTTCTCCACTTTATAGAAGAATAAGTTGGACGTTAGTTAGCTCGGGTGTTCTTCCTTACCCGAGACCATTCTAGTCTCACTGGCATCAAGAGATGGACCCCTCTTGGGGTATCTATCACATGTTGCCACAAACTGGAGTTATCTGTGTATAATCTTGCTGCCCCTATTAAAGAGCTCCTTAAAGGAGGAGGGGCTTTCAACAACTTATTATCCAATACTCTAGGGGGACTTCAAATCCATGTAAAGAATAAAATGCTTCATTAGCTAAAATCCATATGTGGCTACCTTCTTATTGCAAACAGCACCGTTGACATTTACTATTCGTCAAAGGAGGAATAAAGTCCAATCACCTGTAAGTGAAAACAGAACCTGAACTACTCGTACTTCTAATCTCACTTAGAATCAAATTGATGGAAGCATTTTCTAGTACTGCTTGAAATAGAAATCTGGCCTTGGAGAAAAGTTCTATTGATTTTTTTTCAGGTAGTAGCCATGTGTTTAAACTTAATTTACATATTGTCAAATGATGGAGAAATTAAAATGTCTGTTTAAAGGCAGATGCATATGGTTGTGGTTTAGTTTTATTTTCTTTTAATCAATGATTGTGTATATTTGTATATATCAGCGGCTAATAAATAGTGAATCAATGATAGCACTGAAAATAAGCTTCTTTCATCTCATCTTTTAATATTTTTAATGTATTATATTTGGACTATTCTACTATGCAATAGTCTATACATATTATTTAGAAACCACTGATACATTAAGAATTGGTGATGTCAAAAAAGTTTGGATGTTTTCAGTAAAAATAACCAGGATGTAATCACTGTATACACAAAATTTATTGTCATCTAGTCATTTATCTAGCAAAAAAAATTATGCAGCTTAGGGAAATATGGAACTAAATGACAAAATGAATGAATTGCTATTTACCTTGTATTTTATTTCTACAGATAATTTCTGACCCTAGACTTCGTTTTGAGTTGGCACTTCGAGAAGCTGGACTTCATAAAACCTTTTATGCCAAAGAGATATTACCAAAAATCAGTCCTCAGAAACCTCCAAGAAAGGACATGGAGTCTACTGTATTTAAAATTTAGAGTTCATCTTCAAAGCCTATTAAATGTAAACAAAATTTTTTGCCAATTCATTTATATGGATAACAATAATTACTGCTTTGTAAAATTTTTAACAATATCAGGTATAGAAATCACAGCATCTATTAAAAAATCTTGCCTTAAAAAAAAGAAGTTATTCACTATTTCCAATATGTTTGTTTCTTTAATAGTACTAATTCTTCAAGACTATGGAACTTAATTATAACATATATGATATATACATTAACATTTAGTAAATTGCAATTTGGATGTTGCATTATCCCATGAAAAAAGATAAAAGTAATTATTTGTAAAAATTATAATTTATATTGCTGCTACCCACTAAAATTCATTTTTGTTTATTATATTCAGAATTTAACTTTTAATCTTGGAAACTTCATTATCATTAGTACTTCTATTATTTCTTGATTATTACAAGAAAAGACTCAACCTTTCTCTAAATTTAGAAACCAATTTGGTATACCATGTTTACCATATTTACTGAAAACAATCATCCAACCAATTTAATTTTGCAAATTAGCCCATAAGGATAAATTAGAAATTAGAAATAGCATTGCAAACATGGGAATATCTGTTTTGTCTTTGAAAAAAATGTACATGGTTGCTTAGAAAGAATATTTTAAAATTTATAATGTTTAGAATACTATCAAAATTTCCACATTACCTATTGGGTTGGTCAAAAAGTCTGTATGGAGACTGGAGGGAAGGAGGGAGGGGGGCGGGGGAAAAGGAAGGGAAGGGGAAAGTCAAGGAACATATAGCAAGGACTCATGGACAAAACCGAAGGGGAGGAGCTGAGGGAGGGAGGGAGGGAGGGGACAAGAGAAAGTGGTGGGGGGTAGGCAGAGACAAATGTGTTTGAAAAAATAAATAAATAAATTTTTTAAAAAAGTCTGTATGTTTTTTTCCATAAAATAAACGACACATTTTTCATTTTTACCAATAACTTTATTAATTTGGATATTTTGAGTATGTTCGCTATCTCCCTTGTAGTATAACATTGATTGTTCTTGATTAATGTCTAGATATGATCTCTATCAACTTCAATTGGTCTACCCAACTGTGGAGCATCGTCCCACAAGAAATCTCCAGTGTGAAATTTCACAAACCACTTTGAGCACATTCGATCAGTCACAGCACCTTCTCCATACACTGCACAAGTCTTTTTATTTTTTGCAGTTCAGTTGTGTTTTTGCCTTTCTTGAAATAACAAAGCATAGTATGCCAAAAATGCTACATAGTTTCTTCCATCTTCAATATTAAAATGGCTACACATAAATTAACCAATTTTGATTACTTTTTTTTTAAATGCATGCTGATATGACAGCTGTCACAATACAATCTAACGAAATTGTTTTGGAAGGCAGCTATACTCACCACTATACCACCAATGCCGCACTAACAAAATTGTTTTGAATGAAGTTAAAGACAACTAAATGCTACTAAAGCCATCTTATGGAAAAAAAACAAACTCTTTGGCCAACCCAATATTAGATGATTTTATAGGAAGGCAATGTTTCAAATAAAATTCAAGCATAATAAGTTTTACTCTTTTTAAAGAACCGCACAAATACAAGCAGCTCATGGTGCCCAGCAGGAGGAAGTGCTGCCATCTTGAGAGCCATACAGAGTTGATACCTGTGATTCTGCTGAAAACATCTGTGATTTGGGAGCAGCATAGCTGTTGGCTATGCCCAGACTCAGACCTTATTAATTTTCTTTTTCTTTAAAAACAGTATTAATAGTAGTTACCATTTGCTGAGTACAAACTGTGTGCTCAGTGCCATGTATATACTTTACATGTGTCTTGTTTGACCATAATAACCACCCTTTGATATTGCTATTCCATTTTTTTCAGATAAGGAAACAGGTTCAGAAAGGTAGAATAATTTGCCCTAGATCAGTTGTTTTTCAACTGTGAGTCATTAAACCAATTTAGTGAGTCCTGACCAGGATTTTTTTAAAATGAAACAAAACGAAATAAATCTGAAATCCAAATGGCTAATAAATATATGAAAAGATGGAAATACTAATTAAAACCCCAATGGAATATCAATATGCATCCACCAGATTGGCAACAATACCAAGAAATCTAACAATATCAAGTAACACCGTAAAGAACAATGGGAGGCAACCTCTGGTGGTGAGAGTGTGAACTGGAAAAGTTTGGACTTAGGTGGTAAAGTTGTGTTAATACACTTTGATTGAGCAATTCTATTCCTAAATACATGCACTTGAGAAGCCACTGCATATGTGTATAAGGAGACATGGACTAGGATTCCCAAATGAAAACAACGTAAATGTTCATCAACAGTAGGATGGATATAAAAACTGTGGTATATCCATACATTAAATTGCATATAGCAATGAAAATGAACATAATATTTAGTGAAAGAACCCCGATGCAAAAGTATACAAACTATGTTGTATTTCATTTATCTAAAGTACAAAAAAAGGCTAAAGTAAAAAAAAAAAGGCTACATTGTTTAAGGATACATTCATAGGTGGTGGAACAATAGAGGGAAACAAGAAAATAACGAACAGTAAAATCAAGGTAATGGTTATCTCTCAGGGATAGGGAGGCTGATGAGGGTGGAGGCTTCCACGTTGTGGGTGATGATTTTATGATGTTTCTATTCTTTAAAGTGTACATATGTGTTTATATACTATTAGGGCAATGCTATAAATTCCCAATAAACTGAAAAAAGAACATTAAGAAAACAAGTTATTAAAAGTATAATTTCTTAGTATATTAGTGCTAAAAATAGTTTTTTAGCCAGCTTCTGATTAAATATCCCTAATTTACAGGATTTTTTGTGATTGCAAGGACAATCCCTGCCTGGGAATCATATATATCCCGACATAGCCCTTTTATTCTCTGCTGCCCCCAGTCCCTGTGTGCTGCTTCACTAGGCCCTTGCCATCTAGTTCGTCAGGTGGGCATCAAAAAGAAAACAGTACAGACCAGTAAGAATCAGAACTGTGTCATGAAATTTGATTTCACCTATTTGCATGTGTGTATATAGTGGATCACAACAAAAATGTATTTCTTAATGGTCCAAAGAAATTAGAAACCACTACCCTCAATCCCATGGTTAATAAATGGCATAGTCAGATCAACTTCATGTCTTTGAGGATTGTGGGCTTGTCTCAGACTGTATAGAAAGACTGTAATCAGTCCATCTGGTAGGAAGTTCCTTACGTCCCCACCAGCAAACCTACAGATACATCCAAGTCTGCACTTTCATTTTGCTTCCTCTAGCAAAGGGAACAACTCTCTATGAAACACCAAACCTTTCATATGTGTTTTTAGGTTCTGTCACCTCTCAACTCTTGTGAGAATTTCTCTTTTTTTCATTTTTCTCTTTCTCTCCCACATCTTCAAGATCACGTACCTTTTCTTCCTTCTGTTAATGCAGTGTATTACAGAGATTGGTTTTCAAATGTTGAATCATCCTTGCATTCCAGGAATAAATCCCACTTGTTCATGGTTTACAGTGCCTTTAATATGCTGCTGATTTGAGTTTACTAGTATTGTATTGAGAATGACATCAACATTTTTGAAGAATGTAATTTCATTTTTTAAATAAAAATTATTTTTGATCTTTGTTTTTATTTTAATTATTTTATTTCTTAGCTTTTATTTTCCTTAAGGCCTTATCTACCTTTCATTCATTTTTTTAGAAACTTAGTGTCATTTCTGAAATGTTTCTCTTTTATTTATTATTTTTTCCTGAGAACATATGACCTAATTTCTGAGTTTTCCTAATTATGATTAGTATTCTCTCATGTCTTATATCATTTTGATGTTTTTTTAACTTTTAGCTTATAATTTTAATCTACATTGTGGTGATGTTTCTCTGGTATTTATTCCTTATCTGTAGGGATGTTATTATGCTTTTTTAATCTGGTTTTTTAATATTAACATTAAGATTTGATCCTTCTCTTTGCTCATTCATACTTGAAAGTATTTTGTAGCTCGAGATAGTTCTTCTAACTTTACAGCTCTGGAGTTCTCTGTTTTGCTGTATTTGTGCAGGGTGTAAAAATTTTTGGCAGCTTATTTTCTGAAGATATATCCTCCTCTGTTTTTACCTGGACCTGCAGTTTCCTTTGACTGTTGTTCCTGTGCTGCTTACTTGGATTCTCCTTGCAGCAGTTTCTTGTCATTGTACTACAAGTAAGTTTTGACTAGTTAGTGGGGAAATTCATGGGGCCTAGACTTCTCTGGCCCCTTCAGATTTTATTGCAAACTCTTTGTATTCATTCATTATTAGAAAGTAAAACTCTCAGTTTCAGCTGAAATAGTTTCCAGTAAGTACTTCTTGGTTCTTTTAGAGTTCTCAGGTTTATCTGATGCCCTTTGCTTTCCTCTGTCCTGCAAAAATGTTGGTATAATTAGGTTCTACAGCTGTCAGCAGTTACTCTACCCATTCACATTTGTTAGTGTATGGGAATACTTTGTCACCTACTACGGAAGATTATGCCCGTGGATTTTTGGTGGTGATGTCCTGGTGTTTGTTTATTTGGTTGGTTGGTTGGTTGGTTCTTGTGGCTGTTTCCTTTTATAGGCTGATACAAGGAGATTTGAAAACTATCACTTTTGCTGTCATCCTTCCAACCTTAAATCTGGACCCTAACTGCTTGTTTTTGAGCTAAACATGCTCTTCCCTCAAGCCCACATCTCCTCAGTAGTGGAGTAAACAATCATCCACCACGTTATGCATCCTGAAATCTGGGATTCACCCCTTATTCTTTCTCACTTGTAACCCCTCTTTCTCACTTGTAACATAAAGATCTATTGATTTTCTATCTTCTACACTAGAGCCATACTGCCAATGGAGAATGGTTGTGCTTTGTGGCTTCCCAGCCATACCATTCTCATCCTTGGAGAATATCCCACATTATGCATCCAGCTCCCACATTAGAAGCTAGATACTCAATCTCCCCAGTTTCTTGTGTAATACTTTCTGCCAATCAAA